TTTAACCGAATTATATTTTAGGGTAAATTACAAACGCCCCCTGAGGTATGGTCAATTTGCAAAAAAATCCCTCTTATTTAGATAATTAAATCTACCCCCTCAACTATGAGTTTTTCTTACGCCTCCACCCTTATGGTGTCAAATTCAACATAATCATCTAGATTTCGTGGAATGTGCTCTAGTTTGTACTCGTTTTGTGTTAAATTACATTTTCTGATGCACCACAATCTGATATACACAAGCCAAAACACACATATTATAATCACCTTGCTTCAAAATGTAGAGTTCGAATGGGATAAAACGGGTACAAAAGTGATAATATTCCATATAATCTCGAAGATTCCACTAAATTTGAGGAGTTGAGGGGGTGGTTGTAATTATCCAAACAAGATGGGGGTTTTCATAATTTGATCATACCTCAGGGGTGGTTGTAATTTACCCTATATTTTATTATTAAATATCTCGTTAGGTTGTCAAGATAAGATTAAATAATCTAATGAAAATCAAATTATATCATCGGATTCCAGGACGTGCAAAAGAAGAAAAAAAACTTCGTAGAACGTAAAATATGTCATGATAACATAATATTTATGTGAATCGATCTGACAAGTTATTGGGAATACTAAACATCGGACATAATATTTGAATTTTTGTCTTCTAAAAAAAGTAAAAAAAATTGATTTAAATGTGATCCACAAGTTAATGGTCCCAACGAACTACACTAAGGTCCACTAATTAGCAACATCAACTCCAACTAGAAATTAGCTCATATATATCTAAGTTCATTTCCAAGTTGCTTTCATTGAAAAACCTTATCTTTATTTTGGTAAGTATATAGATTAGGCAAAACATTAGATACATATTGGACCGGTCGTATCGGTCATCTACGATTCGGTTATTCGATTAGTATCTCATTGATCCAGAACCATAGTCGATTGTTACATATAGGGATCAATTAACGGTAAATTATATATTTCAAATTTATGAAGTGCGATGGTTGACATGCACTATTTTTTCAATAATCACGCGCGATTTAGTTTTTCCAAGAGTGATCATCATATAAAATTAGTTTAATTTCATTGGAGTACTTTTAGCATATTCCTCTAATTATAGCGATAATCGTGTACGTTTCACGCGCAGACCTTGCTGATTTGAAAACTAAAATAATTAGGCGATGGAAATATTTATAAGAGTAATGCTAAATTTAACAATTTGAATTATAAAGTTTCAATATATCTTAGTTTTTGGAGTACATATTAGCAAAACTCGTGCATATAAGGTGTTACTTAATTATTTTCGATTATTAACAATTTCATTGCTTTTGGAGAAGAAGCAATTTTATATCCTATCTAGTTAAATTCTTATGTCAAAAGGCGTAAATATAAAGATCAACCCCAAATTTGATCAGTGATTAATTGGCTCAAAATCGTTCCGAGAAAACACAACGTAGCGTTTCTTAAATCAACACTTCAATTTTCGGGCCAACATTTTGGTTAGGAAAAGTTGAGAAATTAGATCCATCAAAGTCCGATCCGACACTAAAAGTTGACTATTCTGAAATCGTGCCACACACACACACACACAC